GTCCTGAGATTGCATGTCGTCTCTTCTGGCACGTAATGCTCGTGAACCATTTTTGAACAGAATTGTCACTGGTGATGAAAAATGAATTCTCTATGCGAATACTAAATTCCAGAACCAATTGCTCAGTCCTACACAAAAACCACTTCTGACCCCAAAATCTGGACTCCATCCACAGAAAGTGATGCTTTGCATTTGGTGGGACATCAGAGGAGTAATTCATTTCAAACTGCTCAATCGATAGCTAATTGTCAATGCAGAGATCTATAGTCAGCAACTGAAATGTTTAAATCAAGCCCTTCATCAAAAATGCCCTTCACTCATCAATCGTTCTTCTTCTCCACAACAATGCATGTCCACATGTGACACGTTTGACGCAACACAAGATTATGGAGTTGGGTTGGCCCCCACCCACCATATTTTACAGATTTCTATGAGTTATAACATGTTTCAATATATACTTGTGTCAATCATGTTTTTCTAATAAATCAAATATATTAATTAAAATGTTGCTGTATATACGATTTAAACATATCTACAAAATAAATAGAAGTTTTTGTAAATCATGTTACCATTCTTTGATACCAATGCTTTTGTTTTTAATCAGAACACTCCTAAGCTCCTACCTTGTTTGTATCCAGCCATCTGGCCATAATGTCTTTACTTCTGACCCAAGAAAATCCATCAAGTACTCTTCTGCTGATTGGGTTCTGGTTTTCTTTACTTCATAACATTTAAGTTTGATAGTCACCACCTCACATAAGAGTTTCCTAATAAAATGAAAGATTTTTTCAATACAAATGGCAGTTTGTCCAAATAAAATCATGTGCAAGTCTTATACACATACTTGAATTTCAATGTAACTGGATTTCAATAATCTGAAGTTCATCTATACTTTTTTTATTTGTCTGAAGGGCTCCTATAAGATTAAATTGCAACATTTGTTAGTTTTAAACCATCATTTATATAGTTTCCAAACTTGAAAACTACAGTTATTTGCCTAAAACATGCTTATGTATGACTAGTCTTTTATTATCTGAAGATTATGTCAGCAATATCTAATGTCAAATATTTGATAACTGAAATTCTGTTTTCTCGGTCCTCAAATTAGAATAACCACACAAACCATTCTTATGAACATGTTAAAAAAAACATGAAGTTAAATGAAATTGTTGTAAAAGTGCTTAGCATCATAACATTAACACAGGACTTCTCCCTGAATTAGAGGCATCTTGGATGTAAAACAAATCTGGGATTTATCTAACTTTGGTGAAACTTGTTACACGATGTAGCATAAGATGAGATATGATTACAATGTACAAACTGAAAAAAAATTGACTAAGTTATCAGGAGCAGAAGCCCTCTTGTTAATAACAGTATTTCTTGTTGTGTAACTGACAGGTCTGCTACATCAACCTTCTTTTCCTTTGCCCTTCGTTGGATGTTTTTCAGACCAGAACTCAACAGACAGCTCCAAGCCTGGCTGACCATGACTAGAACTTTTGCTACTCTTCAGTATATCATCATAAATCACTATTATTCCCTCAATTATCTGAATGTGCAAGGTTCCAAGACATTCGACTTAAACCCGTGCAACAGCTGTGAATGTGATTATGATGGACATTTTGATAGCACTTAATGAGGCAAATCTATCTATCAAACCCAAAAATGTTGTGTTGACACTCAAAAAAAAAAAAGAAGAAGAAGAGAGAGAGTAAGAAAGAAGAGAGGTTTGGTGCTGACAGAAAGAATAATAATTGTAGTAATAGCCTTCCACCAGATCGGAAGATCAAGAAATATATTACCATCATTTGGAATGCATATTTGGATACAGCAGATTCCAGCTTTTCCAATGATGTATGCAACACCTCCAAGAAACAATTACTATAATTTCTTGTTCCTTGCCTTGCTACCCAAAAATACTACTTCACCTCTGGTTGAGGTAAAGATACTATGTTAAAAAAACTCAACTACTAATTAGAATGCTAAGATGGTTATCATACTGTTTATTTTCAAAGTATTGTTATAGTAACATTAATATTCTTACCTTAAGTGGTTATTCCATTCAAATTTCTTTCTAGGTAGTTTTGAAATCTTCCCATCTTCTCGTTCATCACTATCTTCTTCTGATCCAGTACCTTGCAAGTCTGTTGAATCCTTATCATTGCCTTTACTCCTTTTTTTTTTTAAAACATAAAATAAAATTTTCAGAGAATAAGATTATAACAAATCCAGAGTATACTCACACACACAAATATGTGTGTAAAAAGTGTAAATTTGTGACAACGAGAAACTGAAGAGGACCCATGAATGTATTCACTAACTTTCTAGTTGTATTTTGTATTACGAACTTGTTTCCTTTTTCTGAAAATGGAATAATTTTCTGATACATAGTAAATTTGTGTCTTCAACTGCAGCATATTAATATTCACAGCAATTCAACACCTGGTGTAACCAACAGCTTAAATAATGTGAACAGCAGATATAAATATGTGCATAGATATAACAAGTTTTATTTGGTGGGTAGTAATAAATAAAGCTTCCAAATTCTGACATTCCTCACAAGTATAGCATTAACTTTTTTATTTTGAAGAGAAGTGAAACAAAAGATTTTCTTTTAGTAGCTTACAACAAACAGGATGTGTAAATTAAGAACAGAATAAACATGTAGCTTTATTTAATAGATAACTGTGTGACTTTGGTAAAAAAGAAAATTACAAAAATTTTTGTATAGTTATAAATATAATTCCATTTTTCAGTCAATAAATTAAGTTTTAGTAATAACAGGAATTCTATGAAAAGCTGTTGTGTCAAATTATTAAGCTTAAAAAACAAAACATGAGCTTGGTTGTTTTATTAATAATCACTACAAACACTCACCCTTCTAATGATGCCTTCTGACAAGCTTCTGCATATTTCTGTTCCATCAATGGGATTGCTTCTGAAATTGCTATAAAATATACAAAAAAATTGTACAAAGATGAACTGAAATACATGAAAAATCACCTCTGATGTAATTTTCTAGAGATAATAAAATTAGAAATGAATAAATAATAATAATAAAAATCATTTATTTCTTTTTAGACAGTGATGATGTTATAGAAATATTTTTATACTGGTTCTGAATGTTTTGAGAAACCTTAAGAAGTGGATGATATATTTGCATAAATACCAAAAAGGACAAAGTTAAGATTTTCATAAAATAACATGCAAAATTCTCCAAACAATGCTGAATCTAAAAATTTAATATTAGCTAAGTGCCATGTTCAAACTTACTTACATATTTATTTTATAAACTTGAAATCAATGTCCAATCTCTTTTGATGTTAGAATCACCGTACATCAGATAAATAAAACAGTAAGTGATGAAATTGAAGTACTATATTCATATTCATTTTGATTAGCATATTATTAATAGCAGCAAGATTTAAAAGATAAATTTGATAATTTTGACAAACAAGATAAGGACACAAATACATTAAGACAGAAAGACAACTGAAACTCTCAGACAGAATATAATATCCAACCATTGCTGTTGCCTCTTCTCAAAGACTGACTTTAAGACATGTCCATTAATATTTTATACACATGCATCTTTGAATTGTCAAAAACTGACTCCTCCCCAACATAAAGCACATTTCAAATCAAGATACACATTACCATCTTTCAGACACTGTAACGGTTCTCTAAGTTTTTCATCCTCTTGGTCTAAACGAAGTTTCTTTGCTCTTTTCAGGATGGTCTCTTTCGTGCATGGCAGGTGGAAAGCCAGGTGGGTGTAAATCATTGAACGCTGGCTACAAGACAGCTCTCTTGATTTCAGTTCAATCCTATAAAAAGCAAAATTCAATGATTGTGAAATGTATATATTCAATTTACTCAAAGCAGGAAATAAACACTAGAAAATACTAATGAAAAACTGATCTCTTAATCAAATGACTAAACTATTTATTTTTAAGGGACGACATAGTGCTTATCATTTCAACTTAAAGTGTAAATTATCTTACAGATATGAAACTTTATACCTATTGGTTTGTATATACTACAGGTAGATGATCTCAAATCAGGTGATCCAAATACCAGAATGTTCCAGAAACTAGCTATACTGGTGAACACTCCATTAGCTTATAAATTAGAAATTCCTTATGCCCGGACTCATTTCTGGTTGCTGATGCATACTTCCGACTTTAAATTACTGAAAACTTCACTAAAAAATCACTGTACAAATAGGTAAATACAAATAAGTATGTAAACATTTCTTTTAGGCTTAATCTTAAATTAATTACTGGCACAGGGGGCATGGCAAGTCGATGTAGTACATGTGATCTCAGTTCAAACATAACCTTTGATTGTGCATCCCTCTCTGTGTGTCAGTTTGAATTTTTATTTCTTTGTTCATTGTGAAAATGCCCAAAGGGCAAATAAACGTAAATAACAACATTTATGTATGTGTTTCATACTTTATTTATATCATCTGCACATGCCAGGCCGAACAACCCCAAAACCAGGAAATTCCAAAATTCAGCATGGCTCGGGTCCCAAGCACTCCAGATTTGAGATTGGGTATCTGTATTGCAAACCTTCAATTCATAGTTACTTGTAAGGGTTTATATTTCGACACAATAATCAATAGTAAAATTCTTTATCTATAAATTAAACACTAAAAACTTATGTATAATAAATACTTCAATAAATATTACACTATTATCTTCAGTGAAATATTTCACTAAAATATCAAAAATTAATGTCAAAGAATATAAGTTATCCCATTTCAACTTTTTTTTGCTCTACTAATTGAGCTCCTTTACTATAGGTTTCACACCAGTTCATCTTAAGACAGTTATTTCTGCCCAACTTGGCCTAGTTAAAATGTACAAGAATTTGTATGTACAATACATTTCTGTTTAAAAGTTTAGATATTCAGAAAGTCCATTAATCACATAAGAATTAAAATATATTTACAAATGATAAATGTTGCATTCTTGTAACAGGTATGTAAACAGGGCACGCTGAATAATTAAAATTAATTCAAGTTTGTTTTGTATAAATTAATTTATTCAGACCAAGTTTTACCAAGAAGCAGTATTACTTTCTAGGTAGCTTATTTCAAAACAAAGTTAACAAATAATGTTAATAAAAGCACTTTATATAATTTATTTTTACAGACGTTCTTGGCCATAAAAAATCTGGAACCTAAATAGGCCTGTACAGTTCACCAATGCTCAATTATTCAGTTTCCAATCTGATATCTAGATGTGGATGTGCCCTCCCTTTTAAGCCTATAGTTAAGATAATTCATTTTCTGTCATTTTTAACTACTACACCTAATTTGACATTATTTTTAAAATAAATTATCTATTGTTATACAATATCTTTTAACTTTTTTCTATTGATTCATGTCTCTTTGTTCCATGTTTCAATCCAAGATAGTTAGAAAAATAGTTTTGAAGAAATTTTCCTCCAGATTTTAGTTTACCAGTCAGTATACAATATTTAGGTTTCATATCTATTAATGATGAACTTACTTTAAGAGCATTGTGTTCACATCATTAGAGAAAAACTTGCACTTTCCTTCCTCTGATGTATATGCAGCCTATAAGGAAGAACAAAATCTTTATCTTAACACATACGTATTAAAGGAAGAATTATACATGTATGTTAAATTCTGCCAATCACTATAAACTGGTATGCTAAAACTAAACAGTAAAGAACATGTAGAAACAACAACAACAGAAAAAAGAGCTTCTATTTACATTTTCTCATATCAGAAATAAACTAAAAGTTAGTAATAAACCAAATAAAATACTCTAAATCTTTACATATATAATTCATATAAGTTTTAGATTTTACTTTCTGGAAGAAGAGCACATATTTTTAAGGTAACTAGATTAATCTAGCATTATTAATTTCAGCAATATTGGTTTAAAGAAAACTGTAACTTAGCTTATGATAAATGTTATAACTTATTCTTTTCACAAAAACAAACAACACAAGGTTCAATCTTTTCTTCCATGACTCTATAAAACAAACAAGCAGAATTTTATTAGTTTACACAATTTTATTTCTTATATCTTATGGGATAAACCCAGCCACTGGGGGTGCAAGCCAGCACAACTCGGTGCCGGTCCAAAGCCCGGATAAATGGGGATGGTTGTCGTCAGGAAGGGCAGCCGGCCGTAAAAACCCTGCCAAAACCAAAAATATGACAGTTCATTTGAATGTAGCCTTGGAAAATGCCAGGGCGTCCCCTGTATGCGATGCACAGGGATCTCACCTGACCCCTGTGAGAAGTGAGCGAGGGCTCCCACGTCAAGGACGGCCGCGGCCAAAGAAGTTAGTCCAAAATCTAAGAGTTGGAACGCTGAACGTAGGAAGCATGACAGGAAGGGGTAGAGAGCTGGCAGACCTGATGGAGAGAAGAAAGGTGGGAGGGTTGTGTGTGCAGGAGACAAGGTGGAGGGGGAACAAGTCGAGGGACATTGGTGCAGGGTGTAAGCTCATCTACAGTGGAGCAAACGCCCAAGGGCGGAATGGTGTAGGCATTGTACTGGACAGTAAGTGGAGGGAGGATTTGGTGAGCGTGGGAAGGAGGAGCGATAGGATAATGAGTGTGAAGTTGGGAGTTGGAAGTACGGTTCTAAATGTGGTTTGCGCATACGCTCCACAAGTGGGATGTACTGAGGAAGAGAAGGAAGAGTTCTGGAGATGACGGAGTCGAGGTGCTGTGGGATCTGTTGAGGAAGGTTTACGAGCAGGAAAAGATACCAGATGAGTGGAGAGATAGCGTGATCATACCAATATACAAAGAAAAAAGTGACATCCAAGACTGCGGGAACTATCGGGGTATTAAGTTGATGTCACACACAATGAAAATATGGGAAAGAGTAGTAGAAGGAAGGATAAGAC